AAGAGACTCTTTAAAATTTCCATTACTCCCTTTAAATCTTGTGAAGACATCTGTTGACCAAAATGGATCAAGTTGTTATACAAAATAACTAGAGTTAAAACGTCAATGATGATTAAAACGCCTAGGTAGAGTAAGAGACTCTTGTACCTGAAGATATGTAGTGACCAAATCTTCTGAAAACCCAGAAGATGGTCGAAACAATGTACAAATCTTCTTCACCGGCCATCATCTTTTCTATCTCTTTGAAACCCTCATTTAGAGTCTCATAGATCTCTTCCTCGAAGTGATGTGCAATGCCTAGGCTCACAAACAAATATATTATAAGGATTCTCTTCTTTGTAGAGTCACTGCTTTGGGAAGACATGAATATGTTCTTCACTTTCGGCTTTAGTGCATCGATCTCTTTATTAAGCGCATCCATTTCCTAAAAGTAATACATTCAATAATCTTATCTACATATAATCACTCACACACACATAAGTATATATGGACTTACCGAGACATCGAGGGGAATGGAGTGGAAGTAGTGAGTCCATTCAGAAGGTGGTATTTTCTTGAACTTGCGACTACTTTCTTGATCCACACTGGTCAGAGTATTAGAGGCCTTCAAAGAAATAGGCTTTTTAGGCTTACCGGGAAATGACGTCAGAGGAAAGCCATAGAGTTTTCTTAACGGAAATAAATTGGTCGTAGAACCAAGAGAAAAGTGAGATCCAAGCTTTGGCCTAAAAACTGATTTTGCTTCCATGTTGAACTTCACTACATGCATATGGATATGGAATCAACTAGATATATAAGCTGGCAAATCTGAAATCAAAAATCAAACCAACATTATATACAAAATAAAATTAAAAAAATAGTTATTAGTTATTTACAAAATAGGCAAATGTTTTTTTTTTTTACGGAAATCGCTATTAAATTTAAAAAATAGTTTTTAGTTTTTTTTTTTTTTTGAATATATACCAAATCCTAAGTAACCTGTACATCTGTTTTTTGGTGAAATTTAAACCTGTATATCTCTTATCTCACTAAACGTTGATTCCTCCAACCTCGAGTTCAATTTTCAGCCTAGCTCATTTAGAAACATTTGTCGCAAATTTCACTTTGTACTCGTGAGGCTCACTTTTTTTTTTTTTTTTTCCTGTTTTTTCTTTTTTAAATTCTCCAGCTATTAAATTAAATCAGTAAAGTTACGCACAACTGTCCAACCATGCAAGTCGTGGACGTCAGGAAAATTATTTCGATAAATAAAAAAATAATTATGAATGTGTCAGTTTTGTGATGGCATCGATGGTTTTTGTTATTTTGTCTAAATTTTTAAATATTTTACAATTTTCAAAACTACAAAACACAGTTAAACAGGTGGTTTGATCCGTGATATTTAGGTTTAATCAATTTTATTTATTTATAAAGTTTAATATTTGTGATAAAATATGTATTTTGGCATAACAAATCGATTTTGAAGTGTTCAAAATGATAAACAAAAATTGCATATTTTGAGATTTTTGCTTAAAAATGGTATTTTTGTAAGCATCCCATTAAATAAAACACAATCTCAATATTTGAGGAATATATTCAAGGAAGACTTTCAAAAATACATTTTTCAAATACCACTTTCAATATCATTTTTAATATTTATAAAAAAAAGTATACTCCCAGTAGTAGATATGATCTACAAGTACCTTATAAACCATATAAAACTTTATAATTTTTGATATTTAAACATGGAATTTTGAAAACGGTTAGATAAAAGATGTATATTTGAAAATGGTTAGATAAAAGATGTATATTTGAAAAGAGGTATTTCTATAAAAAAAAATTATATATTCAAAGTAAAATTTCAAGTGATTTGTGAAAAGTTTATAAATCCTATGTTATTTAGTCACAATATATATGGTTCGTCCAAATATCCACCAATGAATTAAAAGAAACGATATCTGATAATCTGAATATTTTGGTTTTTTTTCCCATTCCTTTGGGTAAAATTTTTAAAATATAATTCCCGAGATCATCCAAGTACGTAAAAGGAAACGCCAGACCTTTTGAACGTGAAAGCTGTAAGAGTTTTACATGCAAAAAGACAGGACAATGAACATAGTCAAATATTGATACCACGTTCAATCAGATAGAATCATATCTGAAAGAGTTTGACAATATGTTTTTTTTTTTTTTATTATGGATGGAGTAATTAACGTTCTCTTATATTATAGACAAGATTGTTGAAGAACGAATAATGTTCAGAAGCGGGTGAGTATAAAATAATTGATTGTGCATGGGGACATGCCAACAGATGTATATATGTTTAGAATACATATTTTGTAATCAGTAAAACTAAAAATATACAATGCGTTGTGATCAGAGTGCGTACTGCGTAGTGTAGTGCTATATTTTTATGGGAAAAATGTCGAAAAAAACCCGAACTTTCAAATTTAGGACGAAAAAAGCATAAACTTTTGAAATGTCAATTAAATCATAAAGTTTGGTTTGACTTTTTAATAAAATGCTCAAGTTTCGTTGACTGAGCCATTTTGAGCACGACGTTAACTTTCCGTTAAAAAGAATAATAACGCAGTTACTCATGACCATTGGGCCGCATTAACTTTTTAGCATCACACCACACAACTAATTTATATATAAATAGGAAATGAATTACAATAACAAAATATTAAATCATATATATAAAAGTAAGGTTTCACTCTCTCTTTATAATAATATTTATTTTTGACTAAACCAAAAAACACATTTAATCATATACATTAATTCATACTTTAAATCCACATTTTACTACTAAAATGTAACGAAGTTAACTAAACAAATTCAAGTGTAACTCATAAATTTAAAAATTCAAAATGAGTTAACTTAAATTATTTAAATAAAATCTAATTTAACTTACAGTTTTAACTAAATCCATAATTCTATTTTATTTTAAAGAACATATATGATTTGAATTTCAAAACCCATTAACACATTAAAATATTATCTTAAAAATAATTGAAACTCGTAAATTTTTAAATTTGAAAGGAGGTTGATTGAGTTTAAAAATGAAGTTTCAATTAAAACTTGGATTCTTATTTAATTTAGAGATCATATATATATATATATATATATATGTATAATTTTTTAAAAATTGTTCCTTTTAATAAATATATATCTAACGTGTATATATATAGAGCAGCTGTGTGTTTGGTACTAAAAGGTTATTGCGGGACAGTGGTTGATTGTAGGTTGCAACTACATATGGTCGTGAGTTTGATTCCCCACGAAGTCAGATTAGAATCTTAATTTTTTTAAACGACCACGTTTTAAAAGTTACTAAATGGTGTCGTTTTGGTTCTAACAGAAAGTTAACTGCGTTATTATTTTTTTTAACGGAAAGTTAACGTCGTGCTCAAAATGACCCAGTCAACGAAACTTGAACATTTTATCGAAAAGTCAAACCAAACTTTATGATTTAATTGACATTTCGAAAGTTCATGCTTTTTTTGTCCTAAATTTGAAAGTTCGGGCTTTTTTGACATTTTCCCATATTTTTATTTGATAATTTTTCTTCGGTATTTGAGTTCAATTTGATTCCAATTACAGTATCCCAGTTTTGGTAGGTGAGAATGAGTTTTGGCATATAATTAATTATGAATATAACATAATTTGATTTCCGCTAAAAACAAAGTTATACCAATTTTGCCAGGTGAGATTGAGTTTTGAACCATAGTTAATTATCAATATAATATAATTTCATTCCTGTTAAAACCAAAGTTATGTCAATTTTGGTAGGTGAGACTGACTTTGACTTCAGATTAGATAAAAAGATTTTAGACTTAAGTAGTTAAATAAGAGTATCCCATGTTTAAAGACCTAAAAATAATAATTAAGAGTCCAAGAGAAAAGCATTTTACCTAGAGTAACACGAAATATGCGAGCTAAATCTATATATATAAAGTTAACTTTTTCTCTTTTCTCTTTAAGCCACCTCATCATCCTAATTATCATCAACATCATTTTATTATTTAATTTTAATAATTTATTTATATCATTTTATTCTTTAATCTAAATATTTATACACATGTAAACAAGTTTTTCAAAAAGAAATATGAAAAGTCCTTTCAAACATCATTCACATCATTTTACTCTTTAATTTTAATAATTTATTTATATCATTTTATCATTTAAGTTAAAGATTTATACACATGTAAACAAGTTTTTTCAAAAACAAAAAAATGAAAAGTCCTTTCAGATAATAGTTATAATAAAATAAATATGTTAAATTAGTATAAAGTAGATTATACTAATATGTATGTTAAATAACAATAACAAATAACAAATATATTAAAAAATAACAAATAAAAATAACAAACAAAAACATAACAAACCAAAATAAATAGATAATAAACAAGAGATCGCCAAATCAATAAATAAAAAATACAACAATTCGCGCAAAATCCACAAATCATTCTCAAATTTTGGACCTTGCCAATAATTTTTCAAGTTATGTTAAGGTTCATTACTTTATTATAATATCTATTTATAAAGTAATAATCAATTTTTTGATTAATAGGGCTAAATACAAAAACAAAATACAAAACAAGGATATTTATGCTATACAGATAGATATACCACTAAATTGATGTCATTCGAAGCCAACTCAAACGAGAACACAACCAATTTTAGACATAAGAAGTAGAAAAAAAAAACTAAAAAGTAAAATGAAAACACTTGCATAAATAAATAAGCGGATTCACCAGAATAATTTAGCCTACGAGAATTAAAGGCTTTTGAAATGTAAGGTTCTATCAGCTACTATTTGACCTAAATCAAAGTTAAACAAATAACAATAAACATTTCATATACTAAGTTAATACAATGACAACAGTAAAAACATAAAAATAAAAAAAAATCAAAAAAAAATCAAAATATAAATTTTAAAATATAAAAAAAATTTATAAACCTCACGCGCGTAGCGCGGGTCAATAACTAGTTAGTATATAAACCACATCTGATAACAAACCAAGATTCAGAATTGTAAGAATATAACAAATCAAAAGGCTTTAAAGAGGAATCTGATCAATATTGTAAAGAGAAACAATATATTCTTTAATTTTGCCTTCGGGATGAGTTAGTCCTTCACCGTAGCCGTAGGCAACGTTGGTCATGCGTGCACAATTGATGGCTTCCTTGAGAACTCGTCTTGGCACATTTTTTGTCATCAACAGCTCTTCATTCACTATTTTGTCGTTGTCCACACGCATCTCGTGAAGTGCCCTAAAAGCTTCGTTTTTAGTAACTCCATATTGCTTCATGTAGCAGTTGATCCCAGTAGTTACGTATCCTCTACTCATGTCATCCTAATCAAATCCCACATAAGTTTGTAATTACATAATAACTTATTTATGAATATCCAAAGGAAAGACAAGGTATTTGGAGAGCTATCTCTATTGGGTAATTCAAGGTGGGTTGTATAGTCTTGTAGACTAATTTATTCGTACCTCGAAACCGGCCATGTCATTCATCAGACGCCCGTTTATAGATAATGATTGGATGAGTTTTGGTCTAGATTTGAGCCACTCATAAGCTTTCTCCGTAGCTATATGTCCCATACCCATCAAAGTCCCTGCCATAGTCGCATACATCGTGATCTCGACCTCACCAACCTCCATGTAATCCTCAAAGCTAGGCACATGAGCGTCATGCGCCCATTTGGCAAGATCAAGGTTGGATTTCACTAGTCTTTTGAACTGCATGCAAATATCTTTCACAGGTTAACTTGATATATCACATGCATGCACAAAAGTATAAAACATGTTGCAACAACTGTATATATTACGAATATTTTACTAAAACAAACAATTATAATAAGAATCTTCGAAGATTATAAGAGTTAGCCAAATGAATTATTATTTTGATTGTTTTTTGAAATAAGACATTTAACATTGAAAAGAAATGGAAAAGTAGAAAGTAGATAACAACTACCCACCCAACTATATATGCATGATTTTTTTTTTCATACAACAACGATTTTACATACCCATACGTTACAATAATGTTATTATATGTCATTACTAAAAGGAGTATAGATTGGTTACCTCGTCTAGAGTGCCTTTCAAGCTGTAAGATCTTCCTTCAGATCCCACTTCGCTTTCAAATTCTTTGAATACATCCAATATAAACTCAAACACGAATTTCAAATAAGTTGGTTGTCTATCCATATCTTTATCAGGAGCCCACCTTGTACATCATCAATATCATTTTCAAGATTATCAGAATTACTAATACTAATATGATGGTTTGTGTAGTAGTAGTAGTACCTTGCTAGGCTATTTGCGAGGATTTCAGCTTCATGAATGGAGGCATATCTATCGAATGTGTCGTCGATGATGGTTTCGGCTGTGTAGAACTTTGTCAACATAATCCTAGCACGTGAGAACTGTGGCTCAAAGTACATCGATATCACAAAAAAATGTAACTCCACAATTCTATCTCTGAAGTAAGGTGGCAACTTAGATGCAAACTCCAGCTCCTTATACCATCTTGCATCAAAACAAATTAAACACACATACTGATATAAGGTAGGTATGAGTGAAAAAAAAATTATAATATATAGAAGTACAAGTATTGAGGAGATTACACACTTTGTAACCATTTTGAGCTCCTTAATGTATATAAGTTGTAAAAACTTGAAATTGAGCTTGGCAAACTTGAGTATTGTCTCATCATGGTCTTCTTCGTGTTTGTAGAATGATATATATTCCAGCGCGACTAATATCTCCATGTTCCAGTGTTGAGATAGACCAAGAGCATTATGTATAAGCCTTGAGAGATGAGGGCTTTCTCGTCCTGCCAACGACTCCAGATGTCTCGTTGTGAAACTCAGTGCTTCGTCTAGTATACAATCTTTTGTCGTCCTCAAATGAGAGGCTTCGTATAAGCTCAACATGCCCTTAGCATCCTTGGTTAATGAGTCCATGAACTCTCCGTCCTCCCCTTTGAACCTTTTGAACACATCTATGTATATCAAAGATTGTTGTATCTTGTAATTAATACCTTCGGATCAAAGTAAGAAATGAACAAGCTAACTGATATCATGATATGTATCTAACTATTGATATACACACCGCTTCTTACCTGACGACATGTTGTGTCCATACGTTCTGAAAACCCAAAATGAGATGGAGATTGTGTAAAGGTCATGTTCATCCACGATCATATCATCTATCTTTTCAAAGGCATGTGTCAAGATCTCTTCGATCTCATTCTCAAAATGATATGCAACACCAAGACTGGTCATCAAATAAATCAAAAGAGTTTTCCTCTTAGCGGAGTCATGGCCGTTGGCTTGGGAATGGGAAATGAGAATGTCTTTAACTTTGGGCTTGATTGCTTCGAGTTCACTTGCAATGACATCCAGTTCCTAGAAGAAGTTATGGAACAGGACATGAGCTTTCACATAACACTTTTTTTTCAATAACAAACGAGAATTGAATATGAGGTAGTGACACAATAATAACACTAGTACAAACTACTAGCCAACAATCTTCATTAAGCCAATTTATAATTTATTTGTCTTTTTGGTTTTGGTGGCCCAATTAATTTTGTTTTGTATGTGTCTAAGTGTTCTATACATCATCAGTATAAATAGTGCTAACAGAAAATAGACTCACCAATTCATCGACCGGAACATAGAGGAAGTGATCAGCCCACTGTGAGGGTTGCAACTTTCTAAACGTGCGGTCGCCTTCATGATCCAGAACAGTTTGAGAATCCATGTTTTGGAAGAGAGGGATAGGGAAAAGTGATGAAGGGGAAGAGAGCAAAATAATGTTATATTTATAGATTGATGGCAATCAAATATTGAGTACAATCAAAACAATATGATATACATATGTATGGCGTATGGGGCTTTTGCAATATTTGCAACTAGGCGCTGCAATAATAATAAGCAAAATCTTAGAGGCAAATGGTTATCAAGAGAACTTTTTGAACTTATTGAACCAAGTGGTGGTTCCCTCTCATTTCACCCGCACCATACGACGATTTTGTGAAAGCCTTCCTGTTTATAATATTATAAATCATACTTTGTCTGCTAATTAAATATTGACTCAAAATATACATGCGTACGTAAATATTGAATTGTAAGTAAAGAGTGATTTTGGAGCCATACTTATACTATGCATAAATTTGTATTTTCCTTACTTCAGTACTCTTTGTTGTTCTTGGTCTACTATATTGAAGTTGTTAATTTAGTATAATCATATGTTTCGTATTGTTTGTTATTTTCAGGTTATCATTGTTTATCAAATACATTGAAAGTAATTGCTATTTTGCAAAATCGGATTTTTCAAAGATTTTTTTTTTTTCATATATAGAAAGTAGGGTTAGTATTATATAACAATCAATAGATGTGAAATAGTCAGATCAATCATCCAGTTTATGAGCTTATTGATTAGTTAGATACCCGAAAATGTTGGGATATATGGCTCTGAGGCACAAACTGTTCCACGCAAAGATAACTTTAATCTCCCATGCAAAGCCATAACTCACAACTCACAAGTAGTAAATGATGGTGGTCATATGTACACTATAGGCATCATCATTGCGCGCGACAACTTTTTTGAAAGACTAACCCTGTTATGATCTTATCTTTGCCAAATCGAAATCATGCTCTGTCACACTTCATCATATAATTCCTAAACTCTCAATTTTTTCGATTTTTAATAATAATTTCCCTATAAAATTAGCCTGTAATGTTTTTAAAACGTAGAGTTGGAGTCGTACTAGGTAGTCTAAATTAAATATGCTAGAGAGAGATATTATAAGTTGAAGTCTGGAAACGATCGAGTCAAAAGATACATACATGCTTATCATGAGCTTCTCTTTATGTTTACTTTAAAGAGTTTGGAGATTTCATCTGGATTCGAATCTGTATAGTACGACAGATTATAAAGAGATGATCAAAATTCATAATACTATAGAAAAGCACACTTGCTTGACCACTCGTAGTATAATAAATTTTGATAAACCACTCAATCTTAAAAGGAAAAAAAAAAGTAAAAAGTAAAAAAATAAAAATCATAATTAGGTATTCTTTGACAAAAAATTAATAATAATAAGATTTTAGTTTTGTTTGTATCGATAGGGTACAATCCTATTGTTTGTATTATGTCATGTACCACGGTTCCTGCTTAAATAATATATGCTTTCTCGGCCTGAAAACTAAGTGGACAAACCAACAATTTATTTGTGTCAATAGAGAATCAAGTTTTGTCTACCTCATCATATATATCTTAAGATAATTCTAGTGCCTCTTCGTGTAACATGTGGTGTTCATTAAAATAAGTGAGATACCATTCCAAATTGACAACAACAAAATAATTAAAGTTTTATTTTAGTTTATATGTCGGTAAAATTTATTTCACATATATCTTGTAAATAATTTAAAATTTTATTTTTACTATATATTCATACACAATTTCAACATTAAGTTAATTTTTGACAAAAAATCAACTTTTTCCATTCAACGTATATTAAACTAATAAAATAAGTTAGAACATTGTAATTAATATTTGCATTAAAAATATAGAAATTCTAAAATGACGTTGAAAAAAAAAAGAATAGTAAATAATGGTATGAAAATAAGATTAGTAACTGATCTATTAAACACTATAAACCACTATAGCTAAATTATGTAGCTACATTTTTTGGGATAAAGATTTATGTACGTAGATAATTTGATCTCCCTTATATGTGATGAATATTATCGAACAATCACTTTTGATACATATCAAATATGATTGTTACTATATTCATAACGAAATAAATGAATAAGTATAACAAATTGATCGAAGTTAGTTTATGAATTAAATGAGGAAATGGAGTCTCCTGTTGAAATGATACGGAAACTTGTAGCTGCAAACATAATTATTTTGAAAAAATTACATAGTGACCACTCCCATTTTTCCACTTCAATAGAATAGTTGGCATTATTTTTTAAGTATACCAGTTTGATTAATTTCGAACGACCTTCACATGAAATCTAACTTAATTTTCTATATTGTGTCCAACGGTGTGAAGATATTTTTATGAATTGTCTTCTGATATTAATGCATTATTTGTCATCTTGTCATATGTCATCTTGAAATGATAGAATATGGCAGTATAATGAACCAAAACAACAATACATTTCACACAAAAGCGATGACAAAAACTCTGTTTTTTCTAACATGAGTTTTAGCCAGAGACATTGATTTTTGTTGTTGTTCCATAATTTGTGGATAAATTTGAAGTTGGAAAGGCAATCAAAGGGTACTTGCGGCAAACTTCAATGCCGGTTGTTTCAGCTAGATAGTACTCATCATCATCTCCAAGTGGTCTATTCTCGACTCTCCAGTTAAACCGGTGAACAAAGTTTGCCAAGGCCACCTCAATTAACGTTATTGCAAAATCTATGGCAGGACATAACCTTCTCCCCGATCCGAATGGAATGAACTTGAAGTCTTGTCCGCGAAAGTCCAGTGATAGATCCAAGTGCCTTTCTGGCTTAAAGTCTTCTGCATCTTGTCCCCATTCTTCGGTGTCTCGATGGATGGCCCAAGCGTTGATGAAGACCTGCCCAATTACGTACCAACACATATGATATATTCTTTTTTCTATATAGTTTACGTACTTATTATCAAACATGATCGTTTGGTTTCTTGGTTTAGATATTTAATTACCATTGTGCCAGCCGCAATATCATATCCCTTTAGTTTGATATCTTCACTAAGTTCTCTTGGAATTAACAATGGGCCTGGGGGATGTAGTCGGAGTACTTCTTTGATCACAGCTTTTAGGTATTTCATATCCTCAACTTCTTCTTCTGATACATATAACTTATGTCTCGAATACATTCGGATCTCTTCTTGGAGTTTTTTCATAGATTCTGGATGTCTTATGAGAAGTATCATTGCCCAGTCGATGGCCGTGAAAAATGTTGTTGTTCCTCCTAAGAAAATATCCTATAAAACAAGCAAAATATTTCATGCTTAGTAACATTAATATGTTAATTTTATTTTATCTCAAATGACTCTCTAGTTATATGTGTTAATTACTATAGATTTCGAATAAAAAGAGTATAAGGATGATGTTTTGTCGTAGTTACCAAAATGATGAGTCTGATGTCGCTTCTATCAAGCTCGAATCCATTAGTCTTCTCTCTTTGAATTTGTAACAATATATCAACAAAATCTAACGTCTCTTTATTCTCAACTTCATCTACATGTTCTTGCACCACTCGTTCTAGAAACTCCACAAACGTTTTGCTTACTTCCTCCATTTTACGGTCCAAACCGCGGAGTTTATCTATCCACGCCAAACCAGGGATATAATCTCCGACGGGGAAAGAGCCTAGAAGCTCCATGACTTTTCTCAATTGGTTTTCAAAATTGCTAGTGTTTTCCTCGCGGCTATATTTTCTTCCCATAGCAACTCTACATATCACATCGTTTGACATATTAAGGAGTAACCTGCTTAGATTTACCGGCAAAGAAGAAGAACTTGCTTTCTCAAGCTTCTCTATAACTATCTTTATCTCCTCTTCTCTTACTTTCTCAAAGGACTTGACCATTCGCTTACCGAGGAGATGGATAGTGCATAAACTCTTCATCCAATAAATAAAAAGATAAATTTATTCTTACAGATCAGGATAAGATATAATATACATAAGAATTTATAAAACTGTATAAAAAAGCGATACCTTCATCTGTCTCCAATATTCGCCGTAGGATGAAAAAGCAATATCTCGCCCACCGTTCATGATTATATCGACAGCTTTGGTTTTAGGACGGTTGGCAAACTTAAGATCGTGTGTTTTCAAGACGTCATGAGCTGCGTCAGCAGATGAGACTACGAGGGTAGGGACACGACCGAAGTGAAGGAGCATGAGCGGACCATAGCGGAGGCTGAGGGAACGAAAGGCGCGGTGAGGGTGGAGGCTGACCTGGTGGAGGTTTCCAATCACCGGAAGCCGCCATGGAGAGGGTGGTTGGTTAAGTTTGGTGGTGGTGGTGGTTCGTTTTAGGAAGAGAAACGCTAAGAAACTGGTGAAGCATAGAGAGATTGTTATCATGTACATCTCTTATTACAATAAGTGATTTGAGAATCCGACCTTCCTCAATACTTTGTATTTATAAGTTATTAAGTTAGTATATATATGGAATGATCAAAAGGCATGCAGTTCTGTAATAGTATTATTATGAAATTTTACTTCTCTCCTATATAGGTGGAAAAAAAAGGAGAGGGTTCAGGACATATGTATAAAAGACTTTTTGACGACTCCACAGTTCAATTTTTCAGAAGAGTCTATGGGCCTGAACAAGCCCAAGATCTAGAAGGTTGTTTTACACTAATTACATTAATTAGCGTAAGGTATTAATGATATAACAGATACTAGTATAAGTAGATATGTAGAACTATTATTACCAATTGTTTTGAAACATGAGGATACTATAAAATTCTGCCATGAGAACGTCTAGGCTATAGAGAGAGAATGCTAATTGCCCATAGCTCTTCAGTAGTTTCAGCTCTTCTATTTGGCATAACTCATCCTGGATTAAATCGACTATAGTGGGCTTCTGTCAAAAGGCCCAATTAAAAAAATATTCAAAAAAAAAAAATAAACTTCCAAATTATCAAATTAACATTTTCTACAAAACCAAGAAATATACACATAAAACCACCCGTTAATCTCAGTAAAATTCTATACACGTTGTTATAGTCGAGTAAAATTTTTAATGAAGAATTCTAAATGATCATATATATACCCAATTGTATATACCTAACATGTGGGTGTATTTGTGTATATATACGTGTGTGAATATGTGAAAAAATGATGAAAATGAATGATATATCATCATAGGATCTTTCATAATGGATGGTTGTCCATTGTTTTGTTCATCAAAGACAACAGATAGTGAAGGCAACCCATGTGCATGTATTCTGCCATCTACTCCTTATGACCTCCATTATATTTTCCCTATTGAAAAACCTTATAAGTTGTATTCTTATAAACCATAAATAAATACAGCCGTCATATACATGTATAAGGGCTCTTACTCACAAAACATATGTGAAAATACATTTAAATTAACCATAAAATAATGTACTCGCTATAAATCATATTAAATTAATTTTCAGAAATTATATAATGGGTACAGAACTATAAAATAATTGAAAATAATATATTTACCATCGTGAATTATTGAGGTTCATTATTTGTTCTCTTGTTTTTTTTTTATAAAAGAATTAATAAAAAAAAAAAAGACAAAAAAGAAGTGAGTTAGGAGTGTAAACCATGTTTTTGATGGAGATTTCCTTGATTGCGATAAAGATATTGAGGGGTGTGGGATGTTTGTCTTTACTATAATTAATTAGCTATAATCATTTTTTGATTATATATGATATCATAATCTTGATGATTTTTGTTTTCTAGACAGCCTAAATGTTTCAAAACAGCTAAGCCATGTGTGTATTATACTTTCCTTTACTTTTCAGTAAGTTTTAATTATTTGTTCATTCGGTTCCTAACACCAATATATAATACTTTAAAAATATCATATCACATTTTTCATCTAAAAAAAAAAATTGTTGGATTTTTCGAGTTAAGAATTAGTTTGGTACGAAACTGTCCTAAGTCAAAAAATTTGGTTTAAACATAAAAGAATATCATTCATTAGAAGAAGAGTGACGAACCTTTGAAGAATTTTTTCGAAACATAAAAGTAAGTTTGAAAGAAAGCAGAAAAAAAAACCAAAAATAATGCGAATTAAAATACATCATTCTTATAAAGATTTTGGTTCTTTCGTATGATGGGAATGCATGGTCTCTCTGATTCGGGCTCGAACCAAACTCAACACCTTGCATAAACCGAATAGTAGTAGAAGACACACACCTACCTAGCTAGGCTAAGTAATAAAGTAGCAACCACAAGCAAGTCTAACAAGATCAATGAAATAAATAAATAAACTTGATAGATAGATAGATAATGTTTATATTGTTTTGTGTTTAAAAAGAGATAATAATGTAACGTATGATATAATGTGAAATATGAATATTGAATAATAATACAAAATGAGAGAAGAAGAGGCGTATATGTTACACACACAAAGCTACAGATCAACATCCTTGAATTTAAACAATCCGATTGCTTCTGGGCCCTAATCCCTCATTTTTGCCAACTGTGATTGATGTGACTGCCAGCTGGCTCTTCTGTTTTTTTTTTTTTACTATTTGTACCGCTGTCTTTTGATCCTTTTCCCCAGGTAAATCGAAGATAACCGGAATCCAAAACCAATCATCATACCCAAACCGGTTTTTTTAGTTCGGTACCCAAACCATGGATCGAAAGGTGAGTTCCGGTTTATATTGGTTTAATCGATTGGAAGATTTGTGTTAACCGAAAACAAAACGGTTTTGAAGCCAACGAGGCAAGAGGGGTAAAACGAGAAAGAAGGGATGGCAGAAATCGTAATTATTAAGAAAAACGAAGGGTGGTTTCAAGAGAAACATGTCTATATGATGGTTTCTTAAATTCAGAGAGACAAACTAATACAGTTTCGTGTATTCGTTCATAGGAGAAGAAGAAGAAGAAGAACAGATCAATACGAGGAGAGATCTCCAGAGAGGTTTTTAACGATCGTTTCTCAAGTAAGTCTCTTTTATCAAATCAAACTCATATAATATATGTTTGTATATTCATATATACGTCGTTTCGATCATAGATACGATACAACTTTTTATTTCGTATTAATGAACCTATCTCTGTTTTATTATTACTACTACTAGGGTTGTTCTATATTAGTTATCTTCCATGGAGTAACAAATTTATATTTAGTCGTTATATAGTAGTTATTAACATAAATCACGTTCTGTGACTGTACTCAATCGTGATCTACGTTGAAAAATATATATATATGATTTCATAGTTTCATAGTGAAACTCGCTCTTGGTTTCGAATTTCGATTAAGAAGATACAATTAAGATAAACATGAAAAGAGAAAGCTTGACATGGCAATTATAGTCTCCAGGTATTATTGTTTAGGTGTTGATAAAAATACAATTACCCATATAAACAATAGTAGTATCTTTTAGGAGTAGTTAAGATATTGATTGAAGAAGAAACACTATTACGATAAGCATAATTTTTTTTTTTTTTTTTGCTGTTCTTGGTTTTTGTCGTTTTCTTGAACTTTTGTTTTTTTCACCAGTTGAGATATGTACTATATACACACATAAGTAACATGGGTATAGTAATATAGATAGAGGTTTTTTGGTTTTTGAATATGTGTGTAAGTAACACATACTGTATTATTTTTCTTTGACAGGTTAATTAGAAGGTTTAATTCAATTTTAACTATGGGATACTGGAACTCTAAGGTTGTTCCAAGATTCAAGAAGCTGTTCGAGAAGAACAGTGCTAAGAAGGCTGCTGCTGCTGAAGCTTGCAAAACCTTTGATGACTCTAAGGTATTACTATTAATTATGATTTATTCACCTAATTTTTTTTAAAAAAATATTGTGTTAATTATGTAGCTATATAGTCCCATGAGACACCATTATTTGATCCTAATTATTTTATATATCGTAGGTGTTTATTTACTGTAGGAATATATATTTTTAATGATTTTTGTTTGATTCTTGAATAAAGAGAAGACAAATAAAACGATAACCACGTATCTATTGGATTTTAGCACTTCAGGTTTTTTTTTTGTACTACAATAATTATCTACTCATCCACTCAAATCTGAAGCGATATTTCTTAGTATTATTAATTTTGAAAGCTTTGGTTTATATGTGTTTGCTAATTTGGGCACGTATGATGAAATGATCAATATATTGATTGATACGTATAATTATAGGAAACAATCAACAAGGAAATTGAGGAGAAAAAGACAGAACTCCAACCAAAGGTCGTGGAAACCTATGAGGCCACGTCTGCCGAAGTCAAGGTCCCTATCTCTTTCATTTTATTTTGCCAATTTGATTCTCTAATGTGTATTAACATCCAGTAATCATATTAATTAACTATATGTAATTAAAATTAAAATTAAAACTTGGGCAGGCTTTGGTGAGAGACCCTAAGGAAGCTGGTTTGAAGAAAAACTCAGCGGCTGTGGTCAAGTATCTCGACGAGCTTGTTAAAATTGGTAAACTACTCAATTACGCTTTGTCATGTGTTTGTTTTAATATATCCCGACAACAAATATATATATGCTTGTCTTATATATTTATCGTTTTTTGTCTTATATCTCAAATATTTGCTGGCAAAAGCTTTGGATTCTTATCATGTCTTATATTTTGTATATCTTTAGGTTAAATCATATTTTATTTCATATAGTAGAGTCAAAGTTATGTGTATAGCAAGTAAGACTAAAACTGATAGAAGTAGTCGTAAGTTTTGATGAATTGATTTATGCATATGCTCTTCAAATTATTGTAGATAACTTTTGTCCGTGAATGGTTTTATTAGATGAAACTAGTGTATGCTTTACTTTTATTTGTTTTTGCATTTGATTATATTATGGTAAATAATTTCAGAGTTCCCCGGAGCACCGGCTGTGAGAGACGCTTCGTCTAGCTTCGGAGCTGGCTATGTCGCAGGACCGGTCACCTTCTTATTCGAGAAGATATGTGTGTTCCTCCCCGAGGAGGTGAAGACACGAGAAGTTGTGGTCGAGGAACCGGCAAAAACCGAAGAGCCAGCCAAAACCGAAGAACCGGTCAAGACCGAGGAACCAAGTGGTGAGAAAGATAAGGATATTGTTGAAGAGACCGCTACAACCTCGGTCGTGGAAGAGAAGAAACCGGAGGTAGAGGAAACGAAGCCTGTTGAAGAAGTGAAGAAGGAAGGAGCTGCTCCGGCTCCGACGGTGGTTGAAACTCCGGTTAAGGACCCGGAAACGACGACGGCGCCAGCTGTGGTTGAACCACCAAAGCCTTGATTTGTTTTCAAGATGGTATGTATGATTGCTAGCTTTCTCTTGTATGAAAACATCTTGTACGTAACCAAAAAAAAAAAAAAAATCAAAGGCAAAAAAACTTATTTTTCATTCTTTTTTTTTTTTTTTTTAATTTGGTTTGTCATTGTGTGGATAAATCTCTCTGTTTATTTTTTATTTTTGGAATGTGTTTTTAAATTTATATTCATGTGAATTTGTAACAAAAAAATATTTGTGGATGTTTCTTTTTCTATACATTTATTTGTCTGTTTCAACTTTCAACCAAGCTTATCTGATTCAAACAGTTCTTATCTACTTTTGAATCAAATAAAATTAGTTTTTGAGTGTGTCTCTTCGATCAATCTTGTTTTCATCAATAATATTAATATTAAGGTCCAAGGATATTATCTCATTAGCAAATACGATTACATTTGACAAGAACATATATAAGAAAGTCGCTTATATACTAGCTACGTACTAGTATGTAATTTAGTTTTTAAGTAGCAGATTTATACTTTTCTTAGATACGGGATTTCTAAATCAAAATTTCGAATTAAGTAAAAAAAATGAATTAAGGAACATATATATGAAATACTAAATGGGATATACCAATTGGGATACATTTAGGTGCACGTGAAATATATATGATTTGTCTTGCAGAAAGAGGAGAGCATATCAGAATAGTTTAAGATGGTTGATACGTGCAAGTAATACTGAACCTAAATTGCAGACCAAGAAAGAAACAAATATAATACAGATGCAACAAAACAAAAACAATTTCTTAATTCAAATGCAATGCAGTGGTAAGCAACTTATCTCTTGATCTAGTCTTCAATCACTATCTTGTACCTTACTTTTCTAAACAGTTACGTAATATTCCACTATTAAAGAACAATATCAAATGTTGGAATTTAAGGATTTTTCATGGTTTAATTTGACTTGACCATTTCAATTCCTTCTCTCTTTATTTTTCTCCCCAAATTCAAGTCATCATCTTTAGGATATTTTTAGTTCAATATAACTCGAACGCATGTTCTCGTAACTAGATGATTAAGGAATCAACCTAAACGCCAAAGCAACTGGTAACCATGTCCACCATCCTGCCTGATACATAGCCACATATTGATCAACATGTCTAACTCTCTGACCCTCTAAAACCTCTTAACCATTTTTCTAAGTGATCAAAGAGTTTTTTAGTTGCTACCTTGCCTATGGTATTTTTTCACCGGAGACTAGATTAGTCCTCATCTTCCGAAGAAAATCTGTGATATAATAATAATTTGATGTCCAAAAAAGCTTTTTCTTCGGCTTGATCCACAAACAACAATTGTCTTACTGTCTTTGTGTTACATGTTTTTTTCTCTTGTAAAAGAAATTAAAAACCAACAAGCGACTTTCAAGATGCTTGTTAATCTTAGTCCATCAGTCTTTGCCGTCGTGTATACTTAAATCTTTTGGGTTCTGTAATCTGTATGTAAAGTGACACAAATTATTGAGGAAGCTTTTAGGTAGTTTAAGTCGAGTACAACTTGTACTGTACAAGTATACAGTAACAGTACTCATTGTGTTGCAGAAATTTTGCAATACCTACTAAACATTATCTACATGCCAAGACAAACTCCATGTGCATCAAGTTTCATATATATATCCGTATGTGCCAAAGTAGAGAAAAGTAAGCAATTTTATGACACTAGCCACTTCTGAAACTCATCAATCATCATCCACTCTGAAATTAAGGTGTTGGTGAGCTAATAAGTTACCCTAAATTACATCAACAAGATCAGACGACTAAACCATTCCTAATAAAGGGATAAATGCTACGTTAAAAACATAATTTTCTTACAGTGAGTACTAACAATGAGGGTATATAGTTTATAGAATTTGGTCCTTATTAAGATTTATATAGATATTCCTCTCGGATCGAACTCTGCCACTGAGGCACTGAATCTAATCATGGTATTTGTTCATTAACCTCATGAGTACTAACTTAGAAGTAGAATTGTAGATTAAACGGAAAAAGACTGATAGATATTTTCGCAAAATCTAACAGTTCTTGAGCACATCTCATAAAACAACGGACCTTTCATAGCATATACTTATCTTACGGATTTAAACGCACGAGAGCAGAGCTCACTATTTCCACAGGAACAAAAAACACCATTGACATGTGAAAGAACAAGAACAGACTATACACCAAAAAAAAAGTTACGGTATCATCTAAAGCTTTTGGTAATTTCAAACAATAACAACTTCACTCCAGAGTGGGCTTGTGAGCCTAATCATGAACTAATCATTTCTTAACCCACACGACATTATAAAACAGAGAAACAGAGTTGATAGCAATAACTAGATTGGTGAACCAAAGATCTTACCTTCAAGTACGAAGCGTGAGCTTGGAAACGAAATGATAAATAACTTGATTACTCAAATTAGAACAGTTTAAGAGTCTTTCCAAACACTTCATACAAAAAAGAGTTTTCAAACACTTAGCAGCAGTTCTTCACAAAACTTCATATTTCTATTAGTAAAATGATGATTAACCATGCACCAAAATCTTTAGTTTTAATGTAATGAAATATTTTGTTGCGTATTTATTAATCACTTTATATTAAATTTTATTGATTTCAGAAGTATTTAATTTTATTGTACAGAAAAATGTTGGTCCATTGTATTTTTTTAGAAAAGTTATTTTTCTAAGAAAGTGTGAAATGCACGCCAAGTAAAAAGCTCAAAAAAACAAAAGACCAGAAAGAAAAAAATGCAAAACAAATACATGAGAAAAAGAGACAAAGTAGAACCCGTAGCCATTTACTAATAAAGTTTTGCAATGGAAAAAAAGTAGCCACTTCGATCCATTAAGTCTCAATTCAAAACCCATAGCTATTAGCCATTGACTGAGAAAGTTTTGATATAGAAATAAAGTCGAACGCATAGCCATTAAACCAAGAAACTGATAAATGAAAAAGATGCCCTCCACTAAGTCTCGTTTCTCTAAATTACATGCACAACTACAAAATGTAGAGAGATCGATGTAGTTCGAGCCCGAGTCTCTAGAAAAAAATGAAAATGTAAGTCTTTATGAAAACTTTAGTTCCTCCCTTGCTAGATTTCACATCCACCTGAGAACATATGAATAGAAAATGATGGTTTCGGTTCTTTAATGGTGATTGTGGATTGTGGATGTGTTTCATAATGATATCATGGTAGACTAAAAATTTGTGGATTGATACTTGATAGTTGGCTTTAAACCAATTCATATTAAAAGTTAGTCTTTATAAGACCAAAATATCAGCATTGGATTAGTCTAGTCGGTGACAACATTTTCTCAAACAACAAGTAGAGATAGAAATGATGATTGAGGGTTGCATGTTCAAATTCAAAACCGGAGGAACAATTATTAGAACTCTCTATACTTAAGTGTTGTGTTCTTTAATTTCATTCTGAAAGTTTTCATATTGATATGGTTGAAGAAAATAAAAAGTAAGGGATTGAGACGTTCATTTTAGAAAAATAAAGTAGCATGCTCCAAATCAACTGTCTTTGGCTTTTCTTTATCACTTTAGGCAAGCAAAGTTGATGGGGGGAGGGCCTCCTCTCTTTGTTCTTCTCATATTTTTGAGGCATCTCACTAATTAATCTAGCACCGAAATTAACAAAATCGAATAAACTAAAAAGAGCCCATCAAATTGCAAAAGATGGATAGATTTGCTTCAGATTTTCTCTATTAAATAAATGATCTAAGGTGTTTCTTCATCACACTTTCCCACGCCAAGTATTTTCCAAGTTCAAACTCTTATCGATGTGTAAAAATAATAGAGATGAATTATACTTAATTTACGAATATAATGTTAAAAAGAAAATTAAAATATAATAAGATTTTTAAAAATTTAAATACTAAAATAACAATATATACCATGAAGAAAATGTTAATTTTTTTTAATTGTTTTCTTTCATTTTAGTAAAACGAATGAATTTCAAAGTATCTAGCTAGGTTATGATGCATGTGAATGTTTACATTTTATTTACTAAAAAAAAATTATAGTTTCTCTTTTAGACCATATACCATATTGATCTTCACCCCTAGTTTATCTAACAAAATCTGATAAGTCATTTTCAAAGGTAAAATAATAATGTTTTTAAATAAAAACAAAAAAGAAGAAAAATAATCGTAAAGGGAAGTTTACGAAATAATTCGACAATAATTGCAGATTGGTATATGTACAAATATATATAAGTATGCAAGTATCTTTTTGCAGGTTCATGGTGCGAAAATTTCGAGGAGGTTTGAGCTGATGAAAAACATTGGGTACAGAAACAGAATCCTTGACAGAGAAGTTATTAATTTCTTTCTTCTAAGACAACAAAAAAACAAAAGCAGCTAGCTGCACAATTACCAAAGATTCTAGTTACTTTGGAGTTTGGTTTGTACTGGTTTATTAGTAAGTGGTTGGGACAAAGACATTGCATGGCCTCTCTTAAATCTGATGGATTAGATTTTGATTTTTTAGTTTAATGGAACATAAAACCTTAGAATGACATAAAGGTACGATGTTTAGTTTAGGGTAATTATATGATTTATATACAGTTTGCTGTTTTTATATAGTAAGTACGTACGTAATACCATCCAAGACAAAACCAAAATCAGTTCATGCGTTCGATCAAAATGATGAGACAGATGGAATTTAGATTTCAAAAAAGTAAAGTACTATTTGATATCATTAACATGTGATATTTGTGTTCACTCGGAGATTAAACCATGACAAGTGATCTAACTTCTTGAATGAGTTTGGTTTCTCCTCTCTTATCTCTCATTTAAACCCTTGAACTACAATTACTGATGTTGTTTTAAATTTAGTTAGGACAACTAATTAGAGATTTTTGGTTTCACTAATTTGGAGTTAGCAAACATATAAAACTTAAAAAAATCATCAAGTCAAGTGTTTTTTTTTCTTCCTTAAATTTTAGTGGACTATGTTTATATATATGAAACCTAATTCAAGTTATCCCAATAATTGGGAGACACAAAAGAAAACAAAGAAAAAAAAATATATCAATTCAATTCAAAAGATAAAGAGAAGGTAAAAAAAGGGCAAGAGGCACTAAATCTTTAAATTTATATTTTCTCCATTAAAGAAAAAGCGATGATGTGTGTGTTCTCATCTTTTGTGAAAGTATATATATATTGCTTTTGCTTTTTTCAAAAGTAAAAGAAACATTCAAAAAAAAAAAAAAAAACACCTAAAGCTCAATCCAAAAGACGAAGAATGCATTGGATACTGCAACTTCTTTTTCACTTTTGTTTCAAATTTTTAATTATGATTTTCACAATTACAGTTTATTCAAAAAAAGAAAAGGGAAAAAAAACGAGGCATGAAATAATCATTATCGTCTTCACTTATTAAGCCACTCACTATAAGCAGCAGCTACTACAGAACATAGTGAGCCCCCAAAACGTTAAAGCATGATGATATCTAATGATGATGATCTTCTTCGATCCGTTTCTCTAAATTTTTGGGATTTCTGCGAAGACCCTTCTTCTCTTTCACTTCTCTGAACTTCAAGATTCGTGTGTCGGACAAAATTTTTGTATCTTTCTGATGTTACAATGGCAGACAAGATCTTCACTTTCTTCCTAATCTTGTCTTCAATCTCTCTGTTTTTCTCTCCTCTCCTTTGTTCTTCTTCGACTTCACCTCTTAATCTCTCACTAATTAAACAAGCCAAAGCCCTTGTCTCTCTAAAGCAAAGCTTTGATTCCTATGATCCTTCTCTTGATTCTTGGAACATTCCAAATTTCAATTCTCTCTGTTCTTGGACTGGTGTTTCTTGTGACAACTTGAATCAGTCCATTACTCGTTTAGACATCTCTAATCTCAACATCTCCGGCACTCTCTCACCGGAAATATCCCGTCTTTCGCCGTCTCTCGTTTTTCTCGACGTTTCTTCAAACAGTTTCTCCGGAGAGCTTCCTAAAGAGATCTATGATCTCTCGAGCCTCGAGGTGTTAAACATCTCTAGCAATGTTTTTGAAGGAGAGCTTGAGCCACGTGGGTTCAGTCAAATGACTCAGCTTGTGGTTCTTGACACTTACGACAACAGCTTCAACGGATCACTTCCATTGAGTCTGACCAAACTCACTCGTCTCGAGCACTTGGATCTTGGAGGAAACTACTTCGACGGTGAGATCCCTAGAAGCTACGGAGGTTTCTTGTGTCTCAAGTTTCTATCTTTATCTGGTAATGATCTTCGTGGGAGGATCCCTAACGAGCTAGGGAACATCACAACTCTTGAACAGCTTTACTTAGGTTACTACAACGATTACCACGGCGGGATACCTGCAGATTTGGGGAAGTTGATCAATCTTGTTCATTTGGATTTAGCGAATTGCAGCTTGAAAGGATCAATTCCTGCAGAACTGGGGAATCTCAAGAACTTGGAGGTTCTGTTTCTTCAGACCAATGAGCTTACAGGCTCTGTTCCTCGAGAGTTAGGGAACATGACAGCCCTCAAGACTCTTGATCTCTCCAACAACTTTCTAGAAGGAGAGATTCCTCTGGAGCTATCTGGTCTTCAAAAGCTTCAGTTGTTTAATCTCTTCTTCAACAGACTACATGGCGAGATCCCTGAGTTCGTATCACAGCTCCCTGATCTGCAAATCCTCAAGCTTTGGCACAACAATTTCACCGGGAAGATTCCTCCTAAACTTGGATCAAATGGGCAGTTGATCGAGATTGACTTGTCTACCAATAAGCTCACAGGTTTGATCCCTGAGTCACTCTGTTTCGGAAGAAGATTAAAGATTCTCATTCTCTTCAACAACTTCTTGTTCGGTCCTCTCCCTGAAGATCTTGGCCAATGTGAGCCCTTATGGAGATTTCGTCTCGGACAAAACTTTCTGACAAGTAGATTGCCAAAGGGGTTGATTTATTTGCCGAATCTTTCACTGCTTGAGCTTCAAAACAACTTCTTGACTGGAGAAATCCCTGAAGACGAGGCGGGAAATGCGCGGTTTTCGAGCCTCACTCAGATCAATCTATCCAATAATCGGTTATCTGGACCGATTCCAGGTTCAATCAGAAACCTCAGAAGCCTTCAGATTCTTCTTCTCGGCTCGAACCGATTCACAGGACAGATCCCGGGAGAAATCGGAAGTTTGAAGAGTCTTCTCAAGATTGACATGAGCAGAAACAACTTCTCAGGCAAGTTTCCTCCTGAGCTTGGTGATTGTATGTCCCTCACATACTTAGATTTGAGTCATAACCAGATCTCTGGCCAGATCCCGGTTCAGATATCGCAGATTCGGATTCTAAACTATCTGAATGTTTCTTGGAATTCCTTAAACCAAAGCCTTCCTGTGGAGATCGGATACATGAAGAGCTTAACATCAGCAGATTTCTCACACAACAACCTCTCTGGTTCAGTACCAACTTCAGGGCAATTCTCTTACTTAAACAACACGTCATTCCTCGGAAACCCTTTTCTCTGTGGATTTACTTCAAACCCTTGCAACGGTTCCCAAAACCAATCCCAATCTCAGCTACTCAACCAGAAGAACGCAAAATCCCACGGCCAAATCTCCGCAAAATTCAAGCTGTTTTTCGGGTTAGGCCTACTAGGGTTTTTCTTGGTGTTCATTGTTTTAGCTGTGGTCAAGAATCGGAGAATGAGACAGAACAACCCAAATTTATGGAAGCTCATAGGGTTTCAAAAGCTCGGATTCAGAAGCGAACACATTTTAGAATGTGTTAAAGAGAACCATGTGATAGGTAAAGGCGGTGCAGGGATTGTCTACAAAGGCGTAATGCCAAATGGGGAAGAGGTTGCAGTCAAGAAGCTCTTAACCATAACCAAAGGATCATCTCACGACAACGGTTTAGCCGCAGAGATTCAGACATTAGGTAGAATCAGACACAGAAACATAGTGAGATTGCTCGCTTTTTGTTCCAACAAAGACGTGAATCTCCTTGTTTACGAGTATATGCCTAATGGTAGCCTCGGAGAAGTCTTGCACGGGAAAGCTGGAGTGTTTCTAAAATGGGAAACACGGTTACAAATAGCGTTGGAGGCAGCAAAGGGGTTGTGCTATCTTCACCATGATTGCTCGCCGCTTATAATTCACCGCGATGTGAAGTCAAACAACATCTTGTTAGGTCCTGAGTTTGAAGCTCATGTCGCTGATTTTGGGCTCGCTAAGTTTATGAGACAAGACAATGGAGCTTCAGAATGTATGTCCTCGATCGCAGGCTCGTACGGCTACATCGCTCCAGGTACATTACTGATTCGTAATCCTCCTTTCTTGTATCACACGTATCAAATGTTCACGTTTAGCTAAAACTCATGATTGACCTAAACCCATTATATCCGTTTGTGTTGAATGCAGAATACGCATATACACTGAGAATAGACGAGAAAAGCGATGTGTACAGCTTTGGAGTAGTGTTATTGGAGCTAATTACGGGTCGAAAGCCAGTAGATAATTTTGGGGAAGAAGGGATAGACATTGTGCAATGGTCAAAGATTCAGACAAACTGTAATAGACAAGGTGTGGTGAAGATCATTGACCAGAGACTGAGCAATGTGCCATTAGGAGAAGCCATGGAACTGTTCTTTGTCGCAATGCTATGTGTTCAAGAACATAGTGTAGAGAGACCGACGATGAGAGAGGTTGTCCAGATGGTTTCTCAGGCTAAACAGCCCAATACTTTCTAAATGCAGTGATGTTATATAATATAACTACATATATATTTTTCTGGTTTATGTGTTTTTCATAGAGTTTTTTTTTGGTTTTAGAATTGTAATGATGGTTTGGTGATATGAGTTTATAATTTTATATTGACGTTGAGGAGAAAAAAGGGGTTAGGATAAAATCTTCATGACATAACATATCCGGTTAAATTGTGAAAGATTAAATGTAATTTTGATATGATTTCTTTTTTATTAACCATCTTCTTGAAACATTATTTTTCTACACATACGAATGCTAATTTATTTTTATAAACATCAGAGATAACATATATTCCCATTATCTGAAATTATAAAACTATGTTTTTAGTATTAAACCCACATACAATTGTCAATGATTTTTTTCTCTAGTCACTTAAAATTCCATATTAAATCAAATTTGCAACACCAATTTTTTGTTTTAATTAGAAGAAAAGAGAATTTTCAAATTAAATTTTACGTTGCTAAATTTCAGTACTTCAGTAATTCGGTTGCTTGACAAAAAAAAACAATTGGCTCTATTTGTTTTTTTTGGAATCATCAATTCAATCAACACTATGTATTTGGGAATGTCCGGTTCAGTTTTTGGTTTTTGGAATCATCAAATTGATTGGATTAAACCGACTACAACACTCCTATAGAAACCCCACACGAAAACTTGAAATTGAAACAGTTTTAGAGAGAGAGAGAGATTTGTGCTTTCCTGAAACTGGATCTGAGTTTCTTCTCCTCCAAATTTTTCTCAAAGGTTCGTCAATCATCTTAGCTATTTATCGTGTTACAAGTTAGAACTCGTTCCCCTTCTTCAAAACCCTAATTGTGAGCTTCTGAATTTGATTTTTATAGATTCGATTTTGTGTGTGTTTTTAGTTTAGGTTTGAGGAAGAATGAAGCATTCAAAGGATCCGTTTGAAGCAGCAATTGAGGAGGAGCAAGAGGAATCTCCGCCGGAATCACCCGTTGGCGGCGGAGGAGGCGGTGATGGTAGTGAAGAGGGAAGAGCTGAAATCGATCAGACTGCCGAAGAAGATGAGAGACCTGTAGATGTTCGCCGTCCGGCAAAGAAGTCTAAAACCTCAGTTGTTGTTACTGAATCGAAGAACAAAGATGAAGACGAAGAAGAAGAGGAAGAGAATATGGAAGTTGAGCTCACTAAATACCCAACTAGTGCTGATCCTGCTAAGATGGCCAAAATGCAGTGAGTTTTTCGTAAGATTTTGATTTCTTCTTACTGTTTCTTTATTTTGAATAGTATGCCGAATTGGTTGTTTGATTTTGAATTTGAATTCTTCAGAACCATATTATCGCAATTCACTGAGGATCAGATGAGTAGATATGAATCTTTTAGGAGATCTGCGCTTCAAAGACCACAAATGAAGAAGGTATAATATTATATGATATGTGATTATGAACATTCTTGACTTTGTTTCATCTAAATATGAAGCATTTTAGCTTTGGTGTTGATGCAGTTGTTGATAGGTGTCACAGGGAGTCAGAAGATTGGTATGCCAATGATCATCGTTGTCTGTGGTATTGCCAAGATGTTTGTTGGTGAACTCGTTGAAACAGGTAAGACAGCTCGCAAGTTTCCATCAATGGATTTGTTTATGTTGCAATAGAGAATCCGTAAAAGAAAAACTCACTTGCTTGATCTGAAAACGTTATGTGTAGCTCGAGTTGTTATGGCGGAAAGGAAAGAATCAGGACCTATAAGACCTTGTCATATCAGGGAGTCCTATCGTAGACTAAAACTCGAGGGAAAAGTGCCTAAAAGATCAGTTCCAAGGCTCTTCCGCTAGTCAGAATAAGAGCCAGAAAAGAACTTCAGTTAGTTATCCCTGGACTTGGAAGTTTAGTTAATTACGCTCCCTATGGATTATATAGGGTCATAGGGGTTTAAGCTAGCGAGAGTAGCCTATCAAATCCCATCGTAATAGGAGACTTCTTTGGCTTCTCTGATGGTGGATAATATTGTTCTTCCATGCTCTGAACTTTGTGACAACTTTTGTACTTGAATACAAGATCAATCTTGGGATACTACTTGCCATTTGCCTAAAATTGACATAGTGTTGTCCATGGTCTGTAATCAAATGAAATCATTTGTTTGGTATTTAGCTTTGGCTAACTAAAGTTGATGTCTGTTTCGGATTTGATGGCTGCATTTTTAAAATTTAGGTTTCGTCAGTTACAACTTTTGTTCCTAAACCCCTACGTTTTCCACAAATCTCTCTCCTTATAACCAAATTTATTTTCAGTTTTAATATGTTGGGCGTCAGTGTCACGATCAGAATTGGGTTTATTAGTGTCAAATTGGTACGGAGACGTTATGAATCACACATGTTGCGGCGAAAGAGGATCTTAAGAGTGGGCCTTTTGATGGGCCGTATCTCGAAATGTAAGGCAAAAGGAGTATAGTGCTAATAAAAGAAACTAAAGGGGAGCGAATTAAAAGTGTAAAGAAAGTAAAAGGACTGGATTAGAAAAATGAAAAGAATAAAAGAAGTTTTAGACACAATAACGCACCCACTATCTTTCTCCTTCCCTTCCGCCTTCCTCCTTCATCTTCTTCTTCATCCTCCTCACTGTTTAACGCAGAGAGAGCCTTCTTCTCTTCTCTCTTCCTTCTTCTCCTCCTCCTCTCTCTGTCTCTACAGAGAATAAGGTTTTTTTGATTCATTCATTTATAAAGACCTTTTGATTCGCTGGTGATCATCGGATAAGTAGAAGCGCGGAGGAGGCTGTGTTTCGCTATCCTCTAATTGAGGTGTTGAGAAGATATTGAACGAATCCTTTTTTTCTATAAAAAACTAAAAAAAGAACAGATCGGAATCGGAAACGTACCATTACATAATTCAAAATCAGGTTTCTCACTTGGGTATAATGATGAGGTTTCTCTTCTTCTCCGTTCTTCCTTTTTCACCTCTCTCTTGAGTTTTTTTTTTTTTTATTGTTTCCATTTTTTCACTGATTTGGCTTCTTCTCTTCATCTTCTTCTTCTCTGTATTTTTCATTTTTATTTTTGGTTCTGAGGATTTTCTAATTGGTTTTGATGGATCTGAGTTTTTGATTTGAAAAAAAAAAACTTCAGATTGACTCTAATGTCAAAAACCTTTTTGATCACTTCATACTGAATCCAACAAACCAAATTCTTCTCAAATATTTTTTTCCTGATACATTTTGCAATTTCGCAGTTAAAATCTTCAATTTCGTTTTCCGGAGATTTTGATCTGAGTTTTTTTTGTTTGGGATGATTCAGGTATCAAAGAGTAAGCCCAGATTGTCTTCCCCTAACAAATGGAAGCAAGAAGCCATACTTAAGACCATCACCTTCAAGATCAACAAACGAAGACAACACCACCACCGTCATTACCACCACAACAACCTCAATCGCCGCAAGAGGATTCAACGCCGGAGGATCATGCACAACCACCAGTTCCTTAGACGGAGTCCCCAAAGGATTCCGATTCAGATCCATCCAACAACAACAGCAACAGCAGCAAGAACAGGATCCTAGCCCTAGCCGTCGCGGCGGAGATGTGCTGTTACAGTGGGGACAACGGAAGCGATCGAGAGCCTCCAGAGCCGAGATCCGATCCATCACAGCTGATGACTCGTCTTCTTCTTCAGGACAAGGTAAGATTCAACCGAACAAGCTCGTGAGACGATCGGTGAATCCTTCTATGCCGCCACCGCCACCAGCTCCGCCGGTTTTCTCAAGCCGGAGTACGAACCCTAGAAACGGTTTCGTCGTCGGCAAGGAATCTTTCTTCCCTTCCAGGTTTAGCATCAAAATCTTTCTCCCTTTCGTTAAATTTCCGTTTTCTGATAATATTTATTTACCTTAATTGTAAAAGATTTTTTTGTCTTTTATTTTTTTACAGAACTGTTTGTTAACTTAGAAATGTTTAGATTTTGTTATTCTAAAATTAATCTTCTATGATCGTGACTTTGTTTAAGCTTTCCATATATTTTCTCTTTTTTTTTTTTTATCCATGTTATGTGATAAATACTTTTTTTTTATAAAGCTATTTTTGATTTTCGGGGTTTGATTTATTCAATTTAATTTAAATTTTATATTTGTTTTCCATTTCATTTGAGATCTAAACGCTTGGTTCATCTTTGTGATACAAAGCTTAAACCAAAGTTTGGTGATCCAAAAATTCCTTTTTAGGTAATTACAGTAATACCCTTGGAAGCACATAGAAGCAGAGAAGTTTGTGTCTTTTTTTGCCTTTTTCCCCCAAAGTGCTCTGTTTCTAAGGTTTTATATAGCTTTTGGGGTGAAAATATAAGAAGATTTCTCGATCAAAGTCTTGTTCTTTCTTTTCTATTTGTGTGATTAGGTATAAGATCTCGTATTTTTCTTTGGCCCAATCTTCAAATCTGAGCTACTCTGTTTTTGAAATCACAATAATATTAATCTTTATTTTCTGTTTTGGTCCCTGTCTTTAGTTTTTATTTTGGGTGTGTGTGTTTTGTGTGTGCGTTTTGATTCTGATTCTTAAATATGTAAATGGGTACAACTAGTTTCCTTTTCTAAAATTTCTTTCTTATTTTTAACACAAGGGGAAAAAACAAAAACAAAAAAATATATATATATCTTTCATTAAACTCTCTCAAAGTTTGGCACTTTATAATCTTGATTTTTAGCCAAAAAGAAATATATTCACCTGTGTTCATCATAATCATCAATCATGCCCAGAAATCTAGAAGATCGATCAGCAAACGGATCACCATCAAGGAACAACATAAACGGCCGTATGATGTCCAGATCGGGTGGCTCAAAGCGATCTCCACCGTCCCCAGACCAAATCGAGAAGAGATCAAGCGTACTTAGAGATCAGAGACAAAACGGGTTCGATCATCAACAACAGCAGCACCACCAGCACCAGAGAGTGAACAGATCAGAAACAACGGGTCAGGGACATCAAGAAGTGGAGGTGAATGGAGAGAGAGAGAAAGCAACGCAAGAGTGGCCGAGGATCTACATTGCTTTGTCTAGGAAAGAGAAGGAAGAAGATTTCTTGGTTATGAAAGGAACTAAGCTTCCTCATAGACCCAGGAAACGAGCTAAGAACATTGATAAAGCCCTTCAGGTATATAATTCCTTCTTACCATTTTAACATGAAAAAAAATACAAATAGTATTCATTTTTTACCTCACAGTTATAAACAAAAAATTAAGTTTTATGGTATGTGTATATGGACAGTTTTGTTTCCCAGGGATGTGGTTGTCTGATTTGACCAAGAACCGTTATGAAGTTAGGGAGAAGAAAAATGTGAAGAAGGTAACCTCTAATTAAAAACTTTATTCAACCCTTTCTTTTTTATATGTTGTGTGATAATGACAAAAGAGCTTTTCAATATGTTAAAAATTAGTATATGATTAAGAAGAAGAAATGATGGAATGTGTTTATAGAGATGATGAATTTACTAATCTAATATTATGGGTCTTCTAGTTCTACTAGGTATATATATGTAAATTTACATTACATAATAATATTTATTAGTTTTATATATATGTGGCAGAGAAGGTGGTGAGTTGTAGACAAAATTGGGTGGACCTTATTATTTATTAATAAAAAGAAATATGTATTATGTATTCTTTAAATAATGTAAATCAGAAAATGGACAAGAACATGGGGACCTACTATTTCCACCTAATGGAAGGAGAATAATTTAACTGTTTATTATATTAAAACTGGATTTGCAATAGTAACATTTGACATAACATGATTAAAATAACACAAGTGGTGTCTCTCTGTCTTCTTTTTTTTTGTTTTAATAATGAGAAAAGGTTGTGAAAATTATTTGATAATTTGTTTGTGTTATGTGATTGATTAATTAGGTGAATGGATAATAATAATACACTATTTTTATTTCAGTAACCTGGAATTTACTGGTTATTGGAGATTTAAAGTTGTGAATATTGAATTTATGCAGCAGCCGAAACGGAGAGGATTGAAAGGCATGGAGAATTTGGACACCGACTCTGAATAATTTTTTTTTATCTTTTGTTCTTTTTGTTCTTTTCTTTTTTCCCCTTCTGTGGTTTTCGATTTTTCTTTTAAGAAGAAACAAGACGCACACGTGTGGCTAGCTTGTGAAGAGCGTGCGACATTGGCTCTCAGCAAGAACCCAGCAGATCGAGCCTGTACGATCGAGATAATTTACCCTATTTTTATCTTTTTATTTCTTTCTTTGGTTTTTTTCTTTTTTTTTTGGGTTTCCAAAATTCTTTTTCGTTTGTTTCGTGTACAAAAAAGAAAAAGAAGGTGAAAAATGAAGATCCCCTTCATAATTCATATTCCTCTTTTAAATTATTGGAAAAAAATGAGAAGTAGATTATCTAATAACAATAATTAAGTACAGTCATTTCACCAAAAAAAAATAATTAAGTACAGTCACTGATTACGTCAAAGGTTCCTCGCGCTAGAATATGAATCCAAGGTTCGAACCGGACCTCATTGATTTTTGTCGTTTTCTTTATGTCGTTGTCTTGACATCATCTTCTCACACTGCTCGGTTCTAGCTCAATAGATGGTTTGTTTGTTGTTGTCCTGATCGGACCATTTTCTTACTTAACCTGATCCGGTCTGATTTAAACCGGAGAAGGTTATTTTTAAACTTCATCGGCTCTAATATTAAACCATAATCTTCTTCTGAGAAAGAAATCAAAATCAAATCAGAATCTCTGACTGAATAAAACCCCATGGAGATTTCAGGACGGCGAGTTAGAAGATTCAGGATGAGATTCCGAAGAGATCCCCTCGCCGGCATCGAGAACATTGAAAACGAAGCTTCTTGTTGTTACTGCGACCTCAAGATCTCTTATTTCAACGAACCCATCTTCCGTATCGGACGGCGATTCTCCGGAGTGATGAAAATCTGGTTCTCAATCGGACTCGGATTCGGCGTCGCTTCTTTAATCCTCGTCACCATGTTCCTTCTTCTTCAGTTTCACCCTAATCCTTTATTCTCCAATCGTCTCACTTCCGCCGTATTTGGATTCTCTCCTTCCACGGTAAAGCTCTCACTTTAAACAAAAATCTTAAATCTCAAATCTCAAAGCTAATTACTTTGAATGTGTGTGTGTGTGATTTTGCAGCGTGTATCATTATCCGGCATTGCCTATGTATTCGTTTCCACTGTTATCACAGTTTCAGCTCATGAACTTGGACATGCTCTTGCTGCTGCTAGGTTGGTTCCTCAAAATCCCTTGTTTTTTATAGATTAGAATTGTGTTGCTTTTGGAGCTTTATTCTTAGATTATGAATTCTTAGGCTTCTTCTGATTGAGCGGCAGTGAAGGAATACAGATGGAATACATTGCCGTTTTCATTGCAGCTATATTTCCTGGAGGTCTTGTAGCTTTTGATCATGATGTCTTGCAATCACTTCCAAGCTTTAATGCTCTTCGTATTTACTGTGCCGGTATTTGGCATAATGCAGTGGTTCGTCTTTGCCTCTTTCTCCTCTCTTCTATCTAATTTGTTCCTTTGGATTAAGAGAGTTCTTGATTTGTTTTTTCTTTATGCAGTTCTGTGCACTATGTGCTCTCTCTTTGTTTCTATTGCCTCTGATGTTGTCTCCGTTCTACAATCACGGTGAAACCCTCACAGTATGTTTCCTATGGCTTTTGAGGTTACTTTAACCTTTATAAATACTCGGTAAAAACTCTAAGCTTCTTATATAGGTTGTAGATGTGCCTTCTATGTCTCCATTATTTGGTTACTTGTCTCCTGGAGATGTTATTGTGTCGTTGGATGGCATAGAAGTCCATAAACCTAGTGAATGGCTTGAACTGGCAGCGATTTTGGATAAGCAAAACAGTGAAACATCAAATACTTCCTTGTATCTTGGAGGGTCAAGGATATTTCATCACGGGAAGGGTTACTGTGTTCCTATCTCTTTGATTGAAGGAGGGTTCAAGGGGAAAATGGTCGAGAACCAATTTATTTGTCCCGGTGATCTCACCGCTTTCGTACCAATGCCATGCTCAAATGCAGCACACACAGAGGGTTCTGTTTGTTTGGATGCAAAGGATATCGTCAAACTGAACAAATGCGGCGATGGATGGATGACAACATCAGACACTGATATTAAAAGTGGCTGTGTGTGTTCACAGGTGAATGTTGCTCATGAACTGAAAACATTGGTTATAGTATTTCGTTTTCTTACTTTCGATACTTCTGTTGTTTCAGGGCGAATCGTGTTTACAACCAGTGCATTCCCCAGGCGTTACATGGACAGAGATCACTTTTCGAAAAACCTCATCAGAGGACTGTTCTAGCCTTGGTCGGGATTTCAATGCCTCATATTGTCTTGGCACGTTTGTTTTTGTAGGTGATCTGATTGCCATGTCGCATTCAGTTCATTTAACTGCATATCAACCTCGTTGGCAATTTAACTTCTTTGGCAAATCCTTCCCGGATATCTTAGAAAAGAGCTTGACCTGCACATTCCACGTCTCTCTTGCACTAGTGCTTCTAAACAGCTTACCGGTAAGTTCTACATTCAACTCGACATCAGATCTTATTATGTAAATTAAGATCTTGATTGATTGATCTTAATATCATTGTTTGCTAGGTTTATTACCTTGATGGTGAATCCATTTTAGAATCTAGTCTCCAGTCTTTCACATGGTTAAGCCCAAGAAAGAAGAAGAAAGCACTTCGAGTATGCCTTGTGGTAGGGAGTCTCCTCTCTCTCTTTGCCGTATTCAGAATCTTCCTCGTCGGTTTACCTCAAAGCCGCCAATGGTAGCTGCCCGCAGTCTTGATTCTCAAATCTGTAACAACATGATTGTTATACAATTTTCTCTTGGGTTCCTGGATTTGGTGCAACTTCACTCAGCCGGGTACAGAAACCAAGCATGAACCATACAAAAATTTGGATCATGTTTGGGGATTGTTCATGTTTGATCTCACTGTAGATATAGTTGTATAGTATCTAAATCAGTTCCACACTTTGGATCCTCACCTCTTTTTTCTTTTGATGGTTCACAATTTTTTTAATGATGAATCTCACTTTTATAGTGCTACATTGCATCAACTAACTTGTTTACCATTTATACTTTTACTCGAACTAAAATTGGATCCTAGAAACTATAAATAAATTTGGCTATGGACCGATCAGTTGGACCAAAATTGTGAATCTCTTAACATACCTATCTAGGCCCTTCTATCAAATTCACTTAGTCCATGTGTAAGGCCCAAAGAAAATGAAATACTCAAGATATATAATTACTTTCTTCATTGTAGTCAAGAAATTAGATCATATAATATTTGGATGCAATTTTATAATATTAAGTATGTTATTGATAAAGAAAATATTCGGATGAAATTTGTGTGTAATCGAGTGTTGTTGTCCTACTTTTTTTTATTTTATTTTATATTTGATTTCGATATCATTACTCATTAGATCATATATTCTTAAGCAGATTCTAGATTTGATATTGTTAAAAAGGTTCATTTTAACTAATGATGGTAAAACAACCCACGGGTGATGATATATTTTAATGTCTATTTTATATGGTACCTTTTAATTAGTATTCTATAAACAAAAAGTTTTTAGTAAACATGACTTTGATTAGAATAAGTCCGAATTATGAAACACCAACAACATCAACCTTAAAAGGTGGGACAAAGGACTCTATAAATATCATCAATAGAGATAAGAGATTCTCAATCCCACGGTCCATTTATTTTTACGATTATTCTTTCTATCTTATTAATTAAGTTAGTAATTATTTTCTTCTTCGTTAGAAAACCATTCCAAACAATATACTACTACATACATATGTCAAAACAAAGAAAAGTATTACAATAACCCCAAAAGGATGATGTACTGAAAACGAAGATTATAGAATATGACTTATAAATACTACAAAGTGTTTTTTTATGTAATGTTGTTGACAGTAGATAGATAGACCAAATGAAAATTGACAAGTGAAATAAAAAAAGAATAGTAAACAAAACAAAACACCAAAAGATGAAAACGCGTGCATGTGGACCAACGAGGAAGCAAAGGTCGGCAATTCAAATTAAGTTGGGCTTGCTTCTTAGCCCAAAGTCATGTGGTTTGTTTTTTCCAAAACGCACCGTGTCATTCACCAATTCGCCTTTCCTTAAATGGTTCTTTTTAAAGGGATTTAAAATCAAATCTCCTTCGCACGTTATTAGACTGAAATGTTGTTTTTTTATACGAGAATATATAAAAAACTTATGAAAATGAAAACAACGTCACTGTGAAATTTTTTTGGTATTGTGTTTCGTTTCGAATTCTAAAGCACACGTCCACACAATATTATGATTATTATGATTATTATAAAGCAAACTTAAGAGTTAAGAGAAGAAGACATGTGGGGGATATATGGCTAGGTCGTTTGGTTGCTTCTTCACCCGAGCCATGATGATTCGACCCGTGATCACGACATTAGACATATATATTAGTATTACACCTTTGAAAGCTTTTTCTTAACTTTTAATTTAGGTTCATGAGGTCTTTCTACTTTATATATAGAACCTTAAAAAAACAAATTTTGTTTTGTTTATAATGTTTGGATATATATATATATTATATATGTGAAAGTACGAATTGTAAATTTGAAACTAGCGAGAGGAGCAAAAGGTAATATTTTTGAGTTAACTATTTATATTTAACTACAAAAATCATTAGGTATAAATATAGAAGAGACTGAATTGGGAGTCAATTCTATTTTTATGTTTATTGCATATAAAAATAACAAATTAACCGTTGAATAAAAAGAACCGTGGACTGGTTTCACCATGCATGTATGGTTTGGAATATGTTGATTCTTGATATTATAGTGAAGTGTTAAAGATGAATAAGATTTGTCAAAAAAGTATAAATAATATTGAAAACACACGAAGCATCGTTAAACATACGTCAGAAAGATTATACAAGCGTGTCGGTGTAATTGGCTTAAAGCTAAGCGACTAAGAGCCAATAGATTCGGGGGAACATCAGTCATTTCGATTCTTGACAATTACACACTGCTGAGAAAAACTTCTCTGTGTGTCTCATTAAAATCAAAAAAACTTTTTCACTTTATTATTTATTTATTGTGTTGTTTTCTTTTCATTTTTAACCTAAAGTCGGGTATCTTTTTTGAAACAAAGTTGTTTTTTGGATAATCAAATTTACTGTTTTTTCAACTACCATCCATTTCTCTATATACCACCGAAACTATACAAATTTGACCATCTAAAAGTATAATTATTTATTAAAACGGTTTATTACATGTATGTCCAGGGGAGTGTAACCTAGTTTGATATTGTTCAGATCTATTTAGTGATCAA